GTATTTTTTTAGTAGAGATGGGGTTTCACCGTGTTAGCCAGGATGGTCTCGATCTCCTGACCTCGTGATCCGCCTGTCTCAGCCTTCCAAAGTGCTGGGATTACAGGCTGGAGCCACCGCGCCCGGCCTTAACTCTTTAAAAGGTCTAAATCATGAAGGAAAATGTGGAGTTAAAAAGAATAAAGGAGGGCCAGGCGAGGTGGCTAACATCTGTAATTCCAGCACTTTGGGAGGCCACGGTGGGAGGACTGCTTGAGCCCAGGAGTTGAAGTCCAGCCTGGCCAACATGGTGAAACTCCGTCTCTACAAAAAATACAAAAATTAGCTGGCCATAGTGGTGCGTGCCTGTAGTCCCAGCTAATTGGGAAGCTGAGGGTCATCTAAGACCAGGGAGGTCAAGACTGCAGTGAGCCGTGATGATGCACTCCAGCTCGGGCAACAGAGTAAGACTTTGTCTCAAAAAAATAAAATAAAATAAAATAATTAAAAATATATAATAAAGGAGATTTAACAAATGGAATATGGAAACCTAGACTGTATCCTGCTTAGGAGGAAAGTATGTAAAATATATTCTTTTTTTTTTTTTTTTGAGACGGAGTCTCGCTCTGTCTCCCGGGCTGGAGTGCAGTGGCCGGATCTCAGCTCACTGCAAGCTCCGCCTCCTGGGTTTATGCCATTCTCCTGCCTCAGCCTCCACTACAGGTGCCCGCCACCTCGCCCGGCTAGTTTTTTGTATTTTTTTAGTAGAGACGGAGTTTCACCGGGTTAGCCAGGATGGTCTCGATCTCCTGACTTCGTGATCCGCCCGTCTCGGCCTCCCAAAGTGCTGGGATTACAGGCTTGAGCCACCGTGCCTGGCCGTAAAATATATTCTTGGGACAAATTACGAAACTGGAATAAGGCCTAGATATTGAATATTATGAAACTGTTTTTATTTCTCTTAGGAGTGATAACGGGTCTTGCGGTTATGTAGGGTATTGTCATTACTGGGACATACTTTTTTTTTTTTTGGTGGGAGATAGCACCGCGCTGAAGTGCTAACTGTACTACTCACTCCAGACTCACTGCCTGCCCTTATGCTTGTTCAAATAATTAGAACTAAGCATTTGATGCTTGCTATTTATTTCCACATGAAACAGAAAAAGACTGTATAGGCCAGGTGTAGTGGCTCATGCCTATAATCCCAACACTATGGGAGGCTGAGGTGGGTGGATCACTAGAGCCCAGAGTTCCAGACCAGCCTGGGCAACATCTCTACAAAAAAATACAAAAATTAGCTGGGTGTGGTGGCGCATGCCTGTACTCCCAGTTACTCTGGAGGCTGAGGTGGGAGGACCATTTGAGCCCAGGAGGCAGACGTTGCTCAGTGAACAGAAATTGTGCCACTGCACTCCAGCCTGGGCAACAGAGCTAGATTCTTAGACCCTGTCTCAAAGGATTAAATAAATAAATAAATAAATAAATAAATAAATAAATAAAGTGTATAGGTAAAGTAAGAACGGTTCATGCCTGTAATTGCAGCACTTTGGGAGATTGGGGCAGGAGGATTACTTGAGCTGAGATGTACAAGACCAGCCTGGGCAACATACCGAGACCCTGTATCTACAAAAAATAAAAAGTTGGCTGGGCGCCTGTAATCCCAGCACTTTGGGAGGCCCAGATGGGCGGATTGCTTGAGGTCAGGAGTTTGAGACCAGCCTGGCCAACACGGTGAAACTTCGTCTCTACTAAAAATACAAAAATCAGCCGGGCATAGTGGCATGTGCTTGTAATCCCAGCTACCTGGGAGGCTGAGGCACGAGAATCACTTGAACCCAGAAGGCAGAGGTTGCAGGGCGCTGAGATCACGCCACTGCACTCCAGCCTGGGCGACAGAGTGAGACTCCACCTCAAAAAAAAAAAAAGAATAAATAAAATAAAAGGCACAAATGTTCCTTAGAATAAGACAGTAACAAAATCAGTCCACTGAAGGCACAGCAGGTAATGGATATTCATAGAAAATGAAGCTAGAGGGTGAGTTACAAGTCAAATTATGATGGAGTTTAAGAGGTGAGGACATTATTATTACCTTAATTTGTTCCTCGCTGATACTAGGAGTGTTTTTCAAGAGATTCAGAAAAACTCCACCTGGTGTTCTTCTTCGACTACCATTCTACAAAAAGGAACAGAAAAGTTAAAGTGCATATACTCTTCCCATAAATGGTCAAGGCATCTTTTAACAGAGACACAATTAAGGAGATAGAAGGAATACCAGATCTGAAGTCCAGTCCTGATTCTGACTCTTATGAAATAGACAACACCAGTAAATTACTGAAATATGAGTTTCAGTTTCTTCATCTATAAAACGAAGGCCAAAGGTCTTTTGTCTTTTTTAACTCTGAAATTCTGTGATTTAAAAAATCTATATGGTAACAAAGAGAAATAGGCCACTCAGCTCAAATGACCTAACAAATCACTGGATTTTCTGTTTTTAACTGCCACCTGCTTAAGTCAGTAAATTTTTTTTTTTTTTTTGAGACGGAGTTTCACTCTTTTGCTCAGGCTAGAGTGAAGTGGCGTGATCTTGGCTCACTGTAGCCTCTGCCTCTCCCGCGGGGTTCAAGTGATTCTCCTGCCTCAGCCTCCTGAGTAGCTGGGATTATAGGTACTCACGACCATGCCTGGCGAATTTTTGTATTTTTAGTAGAAACAGAAATTGCCATGTTGGCCAGCCTGGTCTCGAACTCCTGACCTCAGGTGATCTGCCCGCCTTGGCCTCCCAAAGTGCTAGCATTACAGTTGCGAGCCACCGCATCCACCATGAATATTCTATTAGATGTTAAAACACATCATAAACCCTACATAATTAAAACTGTATGGTACCAAAATAAATCTAGAATGATCAGTGAAGCAAAACAGAAAATCCAGGAAAAAAGGCCAAATATATATTGGTATTTAGTCTATGATATAGATACTATCTTAAATTGGAGAAGATAAACATATTATTTATTTTACAGTATGGAACCTGACACAAGGCAGAGTGTTGCCTTGTTCGACCTCAGTTAAGCATGTGCATGTTGGACAACTCAAATTTTTTTAGAAACTGCACGTCTGTGAACGACTGTGAAACCACTAGCATTAATTTTGAGGTTAATAACTTTTTACCAAGTAGGCAAATTTGAAAATATAAAATCTACAAATAATGAAGATCAACTGAGCACGTATGTGTATATACACACAGTAATACAAATTATGATATAACCATTCACTGGAATGCTAGCAACTGCAAAAAAGAATGGAGGGGCTCTCTTTATATACTTCATAAGATTTCTAAGATACATTAAGTTAAAAAAGCAAGGTATAGAATAGTGTGTATAGTATATGACCACCTGTGTAAAAAAAAAAGTGTGTTGGAGCCACGCGCAGTGACTCACGCCTGTCATCCCAGCACTTTGGGAGGCCAAGGTGGGCAGATTATGAGGTCAGGAGTTTGAGACCAGCCTGACTATCATGGTGAGACCCCATCTTCTACTAAAAATATAAAAATTAGCTGGCCATGGTGGCGCGTGCCTGTAATCCCAGCTACTTAGAAGGCTGAGGCAGGAGAATTGCTTGAACCCGGGAGGCAGAGGTTGCAGTGAGCCGAGATCGCACCACTGCACTCCAGCCTGGGTGACAGAGCGAGACTCCATCTCAAAAAAATAATAATGTGTGTTCGGGAGAAGTCTGAGTGGCTCGAGGATACATGTGGTCGGGTAGCCTCTCACTACATACCTTTTACTCTTCTGAATTTTTACTGTGATAATAAACACATGACAAAAATTTTTACCGTCTTCACAATTTTTAAGTGTACAGTTCAGCAGTAAAGTATATTTACACTGTTATAAAATGATCTCCAAAACTGTTTCATCTTGCAAATCTGACACTCTGTACACATCAATTTTCCTCAGCCTCCTCCCTTCAGCCCTTGATACTCTTTCTTATGTTTTATCATGTGAACTGGTTGCCATTCAAACAACTGAATTTTTAAAAATAAGGAAATAGGTACATATACACACGTGTGGCCGGGCGCAGTGGCTTGTGGGTTGGGTGAGGCCAAGACGGGTGGATCACTTGAGGTCAGGAGTTTGAGACCAGCCTGGCCAACAGGGTGAAACCCTGTTTCTACTAAAAATACAAAATTAGCTGGGCATGGTAGGATATGCCTGTAATCCCAGCTACTAAGAAGGTTGAGGCAGAATTGCTTGAACCTAGGAGGCAGAGGTTGCAGTGAGCTGAGATGGCACCACTGCATTCTACCCTGGATGACAGAGCAAGACTCTGTCTAAAAAAAAACAAAAACCAAAAAACAAAAACCAAAAAACTCACACACATATTTTTGCAGGAGTTTGAGACCAACCTGGGCAACATGGTAAAACCTCATCTCTACAAAATATACAAAAATTAGCTGGGCATGGTGGCTCAAGCCTACAGTCCCAGCTACTTGGAAGGCTGAGGTGGGAGGACTGCTTGAGTCAGGGAGGTTGAGGCTGCAGTGACCTGATTGTGCCACTGCACTCCAGCGTGGACGAGAGTGAGACCCTGTATCAAAAAGAAAAAAAAAAGAAAGAAAAAAGAAAAAAAACCACCCATAATCCCACTACCCATAGGTAATCACTGTAACATTTCGACACATAATCTTTTTACTTTTATTTGACACAGTCTCACTCCGTCGCCCAGGCTGAAGTGAAGTGGTGTGATCATACCTCACTGCAGCTTGACCTCCTGGGCTGAAGGGATCTTCCCACCTCCTTAGCCTCCCGAGTAGCTGGGACTACAAGCACTTGCCACAACATCCAGCTAATTTTTGTATTTTTTTGTAGTGATTAGGTTTCACCATGTCACCCAGGATGGTCTCAGAATTACAGGTGTGAGCCACCACACCTGGACATCTTTTTACTTTTTTGTATGCCACATACATTTGTAACCCAACCCCAAATGGGATTCTGTTATATAAATTGGTTTGTTTGTTTATTTATTTATTTTTGAGACAGAGTTATGTTCTTGTTGCCCGGGCTAGAATGCAGTGGCACATTTCTGCTCACTGTAACCTCTACCCCCCTGGTTCAAGCGATGCTCCTGCCTCAGCCTCCCGAGCAGCTGGAATTACAGGCACATGCCACCATATCAGGCTAATTTTGTATTTTTAGTAGAGATGGGGTTTCACCTTGTTGGCCAGGCTCGTCTTGAACTCCTGACCTCAGGTGATATGCCCGTCTCAGCCTCCCAAAGCGAGTAAGCCACTGCGCCTGGCCAACTGGTTTGTAATCTGTGTCTTTTCATTTAACAATCCATTATACACACCCTTCCATGTTCATGTTAAATAGACTTTTGAGACTCTGGAGCTAATGTGAATTTTTGGACACTGCTCTTTAAACTGGCTAAAAACCTTGGAGTAATCCTTGACTCTTCCTTTTCTTACATCCTGCATCTAATCCACTAGGAAATTCTGTTGGCTGTATCTTCCATATATACTCAGAATCTGACCACTTTTCCTTCACCCCAGTGCTACCATGCTGGTCAGACCCACCTGGAATGGCATTTCCTGCTTCTACTCTTATCCCTCAAAACAGCAGCTGAAAGGAAATGCATTTCTTTTTCTTTTTTTCTGAGACTGAGTTTCACTCTTGTTGCCCAGGCTGGAGTGCAATGGCGTGATCTCGGTTCATGGCAACCTCCACCTCCTGGGTTCAAACGATTCTCCTGCCTCAGCCTCGTGAGTAGCTGGGATTACAGGAATACACCACCATGCCCGGCTAATTTTTGTGTATTTTTAATAGAGATGGGGTTTCGCTATGTTGGTCAGGCTGGTCTTGAACTCCCAACCTCAAGTGATCCGCCCGCCTCAGCCTCCCAAAGTGTTGGGATTACAGGTATAAGCCACCACGCCCGGCCTAGGAAATGCATTTCTTATCATTCAAAACCCTCTATGGACTATCTCATTTAAAGTAAAAGGCAAATTCCTTAAGATGGCAAACAAGTTCCCACTAGACCTGGCCCAATTACCTCTCTAACCTTATATCCCAACTCACTCTCTCATGCACTCTGCTCCTGCCACACTGGCCCCTTGTTCAGACAGGAACTAGGTAGAGATTAGGGTGGAAAGAGCAGCCTTGCCAAGTTCAGGGTAAGAGCCTGTCTTTAAAATTTTGTCCATTATGGATTTTTTGCATTAATTTTGATTTTTGAAATTGGTACATTCAAATATTATTTGTTTTGATTACTGAGTTTTTAAGGCACTCTCAAATTTTGCACCTCAAGCAAGTAAATTATTCACTTCACCCCAGTTCTGGCCTTGCTGGGCACCCTTCACTTCTACAATGGGTGTTACTTCTACTTGGTCTACTCTTCCAGCAGTAGTCATTGCTTCACCTCAAGTCTTCGTTCAAATGGCGCATTCTTAATAACATCTACCCAGACCACTCTAGTTTAACTGCAACGTCCCCCTCTCCACTACTCCCTATAGCTCCATCTGATTTCTTTCTTTTACCATAGGATGTATCACTTTTTATTTTTTTTGAGACAGGGTCTCGCTCTGTCACCCAAGCTAGAGTGTAGTGGTATGATTACGGTTCATTGCAGCCTTGACCTCCCAAGTTCAAGTGATCCTCTCACCTCAGCCTCCTGGATAGCTGGGACTAAACACATGTGCTACCAAGCCCAGCTTACATATATATATGTATGTTCATTTTTTTTTTTTTTTTTTTTTTTTTAGAAACAGGATTTCACCGCGTTGCCCAGGCTGGTCTCCAACTCCTGTACTCAAGCCATCTACCCTCCTCGGCCTCCCAAAGTGCTGGGATTACAGGTGTGTCCAGTCAATGTATCAGTTTTTAACGTACTTGAAGTTATACTTATTGTTTATAGACTGTCTTCCTCTCCCCCAACCACACCATAAGCTCCTTCCTTCAGAACAGTGCCTGGCATGTAGAAAGCACTAAATTCAAGGACAGAATGTATCCAAAGAAGTAAATTTGGAGGCCAGACATAGTGGCTCACACCTGTAATCCTAGCACTTTGGGAGACCGAGGCTGGCAGATTGCTTGAGCTCACAAGTTCAAAACCAGCCTGGGCAACATGATGAAACTCCGTCTCTATTAAAAACACAAAAAAATTAGCCAAGCTAATTTTTAGCAAGCAGTGGCATGCACCTGCAATCCGAGCTACTCAGAGGCTGAAGTGGGGGATGGCTTGAGCCTGGGAGGGGGAGGTTACAGTGAGCTAGATCACACCACTGCACTCCAGCTTGGGCAACAGAGCCAGACTGTGTCTCAAAAAATAAAATAAAATAAAGTAAATTTGAACTTGCATCTTCCCAATATTCAGTTAATCTGCATTAGCTCATTGGAATATAAAGTTTTATTACTACAGTATTAAAATATTGATGAAATCTGTAACTGTGTTTAACTGAATGAAAATTGAAGTACTTTTAACAATGACACAAATAGGGATGGCAGTGCATTCGTGATTATTATAATTTGTTTTGTTGCTAACTTCTGTTTTGACTCCTGTAATTTATGTTCATAGGCTATTTCCTTAGCCAATGCTATCAATCTTAACTGGGTTTTCTTTCTCCCCATGTTTAAAGCACAATATTGATCTACTCCCTTGTGATGTCATTATACTATTCAGACTTAACCAGTAAAAAAAACAAGGAAGTCATTCAAACCTTCATCCTCACCCGGTGGTGAAAGCTGAATTACATGAGATGTGCCAAACCCTTCTACAACTGCCAGTGCTCGTGATCTGGCCTAGGCAGAGCAGCTCTTTCTGTCATTCTGAAACAGTTAAGTGCTTCTCAAACTTTTCTCCCATTATTACTCCAGGACCCTTTTTAGACTTCCCCCAGCTTTCATTCCTACACCCAGGAAATTTTAATACATACAAAAATACTGTGTACCTATTTGTGCTTTCCTGTGTATCTATCTGTGCTCATATAACAAAAGTGTTGGCCGGGCGCAGTGGCTCAAGCCTGTAATCCTAGCACTTTGGGAGGCTGAGGCGGGTGGATTGCCTGAGCTCAGGAGTTCTCAACCAGCCTAGGCAACACGGTGAAAATCTGCCTCTATTAAAATACAAAAATTAGCCAAGCGTGGTGGTAGATGCCTGTAGTCCCAGCCACTCGGGAGGCTGAGGCAGGGGAATTGCTTGAACCCAGAGGCGGAGGTTGCAGTGAGCTGAGATCGCACCACTGCACTCCAGCCTGGTTGACAGAGTGAGACCCCGTCTCAAAAAACAAACAAAAAAAGCTATTTTTTTGCCCTCTTTTTCAAGAACGCATGAATTAAGTGAACCAAAAAGAATACTTCTGTTTACCATTGCTAAAGTGCTGGACACCGTGGTCAGTACTTTACGTGCATCATCTCCTCTACTCCTTACAAAGTAGGACTAATCTCCATTTTACAGCTGAGGAGACTGAGGCTCCAGGGAGTCAAACAATTTAGCCAAATTTCAATTAATACGCTGAAAATCTAGAAGTAAAAAAGGGTACCTAAACTCTAAAACCCATATTCTCAATATCTGAGCTCCTAGGCTCCCCTAGACTCTATTGTCTTAAAATTTCAACCCCTTGGCCAGGTGCAGTGGCTCACGCCTATAATCCCAGCACTTTGGGAGGCCGAGGTGGGTGGATTGCCTGAGGTTAGGAGTTTCAGACCAGCCTGGCCAACATGGTGAAACCCCATCTCTACTAAAAATACAAATATTAGCCGGGTGTGGTGGTGCACGCCTGTGATCTCAGCTACTTGGGAGGTTGAGGCAGGGGAATCGCTTGAACCCGGGAGGCGGAGGTTGCAGTGAGC